GTTTGTTGTTCGAATTAAACATTTCTGTTCGTTAAGTCACGTCATCACTATGACTAATAGAAGCAAAGGAACAGAGGGAAATGTGGATAAACGTGGAAAATGTTTTTTCTTTGTGAGTTTCAGCAGAAAGCGCTACAAGATACCCGAAAAATATATATATCATAGAATGAATTCCGTTTAAATGATCTAAAAAAAATGTCCGTCTATCTGTAAAGATTCACTTGCCAGAACGAAGGGACGCGACCGTCATTCGGAGACCATCTAATTAGTTTGAAACTACGAAATCTACCCGACCGCGCATAATATTAGTGCATTCATATTATTTAAACAAATTAAAAAAAATATTAATGAATTGTTAGTGAAAATTACAATTTAATTATAATTGTCACGACGATCAGTGACGGTTTGTAGACTTTATTTTTCGCATTTTTTTCGATTGCACATAACGTCATTATATAAAAGCAGCACGGAACGCTGTGGGTGCCGGTTCAAGTCCCGCCGATAACACAAAACTATTTAAAATAATCGATACAAAAGATGACGAGATATAAAAAAAAGAATGAAGAAAGATCAGTTTATTTACATAGATCTTTTCTTTTTAACATTAAATCTTCCATTTTAGCCAGGACGAGATAGCATGACAGTGATAAGGCTGTCCCTTCGCTCCAGTCAAGTATGGGTCTTTCTTGTATTAATGTTATAATTTTTTGTAGGCACGAATAATATATAAAGAATAAATAACTAGAAAGCCGAGTAAGTGCCTCGTGCCAACTCACACTTAGCCAGCGTGTTTCTTAACGCTTATATTATATAGTAGCTAGTTTCTAAATACCAACTACGACGAAACAGATGGCGCTAGCGCAGTAGATTTGACTTTGACCACCCTCACCTTGGTTACCCTCTATGTTGACCCCAGAATTGTCGAGTTGTTAAAATAAAGTGAAAATAATAAATTGTGTAAGGCTTTCAGGGTTCACCATATTATTGTTTTTCGGGCTGTTCGGTCCGCGTTAGGGAGAAGTTGTCAACGAGAGGTCCTCGAAGATCATTTGAGAGAGAGAGAAATTGGTCGAAGAGTTTCCTTTGGAATTAATTCTTCGAGGAGCTAACAACATTTCCTGATGATGCCGTCCACTCATGATGGCGAAACGTCGAGTATCTCTTCTCCTTTAATCGGCCGAACAGTAATATAAAGTGAAAATAAGTCATTTAGCGTTTTAAACCGTTAAAAGTGTTACATTTAAAGGCTTATATTCTCTAAGAAGTCTGATATTGTACTGCTTAAGGCCTAACGAATTAATATTCCTGACGTCCCTTCCAAATTTAGTTCACTTACAGAAACAAACTCCAGCAACCAGCCGGATTCCCAAAAAAACTGGTTCCGCCAGATTTGGAGTTTTTAGCATCGTCAAGTATTACCAAGGTCAGGGCTTTAATTTGCACCTTAACATCACAATGTATTTTCTTTACATAACTTCATAATGATATTGTTACATTCGTTTTAGGAATTAATGAAAAGCTTATACTTTCTGACGAAAGAAAGGAAAAAAAAAAGAAAGAATTAGCGAAAGTAAAGTCAATTTTAAGTCGGATTCTAGAATCCTATAGACTAGTTCTTAGAATTATTCTAGAAAGATGAGACTACCGCACTCAGTAAGAGGTTCAAGCTCGTCATAAAATAAAAGATTAAACAAATGTAGATCGATATCTTTATCAGAATGGATTTATCTTTAAATGTCGTGATAGCTTTCCCTTTATCGAAAAAAATATTGCAATTTCCCCTGAATTTAAGAACACTTTCCCTAAAGAACGAGCGTTAGCGGCAGTCACTTTTCATTCACATCATTATAAAACATAGTAAAGTTAATAAAAGACCTGGTAGTCAGACAGGAGGTTTACATAAATCTAAAGTAGAAGCAAAATATCGCTCATAATTATCACGTAACTACATAATCGGCTCATGATCTCGAAACATAAATAAAAAAAGTGTCTGGAATCTATTCTAAACCTGGTGATAAAGTTCGACTAATATCACTGTTTATATCAGAAAACGATGGACGAAATAATTCAAAATTATGTAAAATATAAGTGTTAGAGTTCAATTAGAGGATATAAAAAGTATTTTTTTTACTTATTTGATATTCCTGTGATTCTGATATGTAGAGCTGAAGAGTTTGTTGTTTGAACACCTTGTCTTAGGAACTACTGGTTCGAATTGAAAAATACTTTTTGTGTTGGTGAAAGCATCGCAATGAAGGAAATGGGAATTGAAGAAACGGGGAAAAATATTCACCCTTATGAATTCTTTCATACACTGCGAAAACGGTTCAAGATACCAAAAAAATGTATGTAATGTATGATTTCCCTTTAAAAGATCTAAAAAAATACGGGACAGTATATATCTAACTTTTAAGATTAACTTGCAAGAACGACGGGATGCGGACAAGCGGTTGAACTGGAGGTTTAAAAAAAACAAATTTTGATACCCAAAACAAATATTCTACGCGGACGATGTCGCAGACGAAGCTAATCGTGCAGATATATTGAATATCGCGAAACGAGAATCAGCCCCTAGAGACAGGTGATTCGCAGGATGCAGTAATGGAAAGAAGATTATATACCTTATATGGAGTTAAAATTATCCTAGTATTTTCTGATATTTATCAATAGAGATTATAAGGCCATTCCATGAAAATAAAATAATATGTGTGGAGTCTAGAAATTAGTACCTATGTACTAATTTACTATAATTTTTTAATAATAATTTAATGAAAATATAATTTGTAAGTATTGTTTGTAGTGTACGCAAGTAATACACATTTAATAGGTTTAAAACACGAAGCAAAAAAAAAACATATTTTAATTTAAGTACTTTAACATTTCAGACGCTTTGCATCCGCCGTTTGTGGTCCCCGTGATCACCATCACCGGGTTCTTTTTAAATAAAATTTATAGTAAATATACTTTAGTAATATTTAGTTTAATATAATATAATTAATTTTCGTGAGCACATAGTGAATCGTTATCACCAAATTATAACAGAAAGGACTATAAGAGTAAGTAATTATTTACTAAAAAAACGCAGAATTTATCGAATGCAATATACAGCCAAAAAGGCAAATATGGAGGATATTTGCCTTTTCGGCTGTATTTTAAGTCGTGAATCCGAAAGAAGTTCCTCAGTTTGAATCCCGGGTATTATAGTGCTTGGTTCAAACAAATGTCGACTCCATGTCCCAAGCGTGGGACAATATTTAACATCCTGTATATGTTTCGTACTATGCTCAATAAGAGTATGATTTTCAGCCTTATTTAGTGGCAACAACAACAAACAATGCATAATAATACGTTTTCGGAAAAGTGGCACTAAAACATGTCGTTGATCTTTCAATGACGATCTATGACGCAAGAGTGGAATGTTTGGAGAAATATGGTGTCAGAAATAGATAGAAGATTGCTATAGCAACTTTAAAAGTAAAAATCATTAAAATATTAAAACTGTAAATGGCCTTGGAACTTCAGTCCCAATTTTATCAAAATCAGTGCAGTAGTTTTCGCTCGAAAGAGAAGCAAAATAGCCATTGACATTAGCTTGTCTTTATAATATAGTAGGATCTGAGAGAAATTAAAATTATCGGAAAAATACAAACATTAAAGTTTTCTTTATAGAATTGCCCAGTTATAATCTTATTCTTGATGCCAACTAAATATTGATTAGCCTTATTATTATTAAACCTTTAGCTCATCAGTTTCAAATGAACCTTGACATATAGAATAAGAATTGCACCATCAAAAAATACAAATACACTCAAATTTTAATAGGAGTGAAAAGTATAGGTAAATTAAGAATGTACATAGATAACACAAGCAATTCAAACCACCACATACCACACTGTTTCCTACCTCAGTTAGACTAAATTTGTAATGTCAAGAGACTTGGTAGCTCAATTGGATATAGCAACAGCCTAGTCCTCATATTTTTCAATTTATTTTCGATTTTGAATTCATAAGTAAATAATTTATATTTATAGCTATCATGTTTAATAGCATGTGGAAATAATGTGAGCTATAACAAACATTCTGTTATATCATTCCTTATTGTCACAAAACAAAGACGCGTTTTTTTATATACGCTATAAGCAAAATTTAGGAACCTAGGAACCCAGATAAAGAACACGCATACATAATTAATTCACTAAGAGAATAAGCAACAAATTACCTTAAAAATGATCACTTCAAGTTTACATACATTTATTGTCCTTCATTGCAAAGACTTGAAAGGTGTTAAACTTTAAATGATATTAAACTTTTAAATGATAAAACTTTTGTTGAAGAATCGTAAAACATTAATCATTTATAAAATAATTAAACCTTCAGTGTAGGATTGCATTATAATTCAAGGGCTGTAATCTTTAAGCTACTTATTGCTAATTCAATTATCATTTGCTACAGTACATCAATGAACAATTAAAGCTATCAAAACATACAAAATATTCAGTTATGATTATGAAGGCGCATTTAATATAGAGGATCTTTAAGCATACTCTCTCTATCGGCTGTATCATTGTTACCCATTGACACCTCGGGTAGAAATATTGCTGTACTCCTACTTAATGTAGCACAAATTTGGAAAGAAAATCTTGGCTTCTGGCTCCCTGAATAATCATCTCTACCCTCTGCCCGACAGTACTGTCTGTCAGATAACACTTGTACCGCTCAATAATTTACAAAAATTTTATCGCACCAGTTCAAAAAGACCTCTCTAATATTTTTTTATCGTAATCCATATAACAACATTAACACCTTGGTGACAATCAACACTTTATTAAAGACACAAATAAAACTTACTTGGTAGATGCAAAATCTATAAACATGATGCAAGAATAAGAAGGAAAGGAAGAATAAAGGATTACTCAGCCACAAAAGTACCAACCAACTATTTAGTATTATTTGTATTGTTTGTTCATTCGTTGTTATTAAGGTTTATAAATAATACTCACCGATCATATCGTATAAGCTTGCTGTGTAGTTGTCCACATAATTCGAAATAAAACTCATTTTCACTGAACATCTAACTTAGTGAGTCCTTAAATAAGTACTATTTAGTCCTCAGAACGACGACTCATAACATTTAGATTAATGATATTGAAAGGTCATAGTTTATATTATTATTTCCTTCATAAGTAGTTTTTTAGAATCTACTCATATTTCGTGGTAAATCAAATCTAAGCACATTCCACTGGCAAATTCCAACAAAAACAATCACAAAAACATTCATATAAGCCCAAGGTCATCATTTAATTTTCAAAGAGTGTGACAGCAGCAACGTTTGTCAAATTTATCTAGTGATAACGTCAAACGTCAAAATGTTCAAAATTATCTTTATGTTTTTAATTTGATGGCTTTGGATGATTTGATGGATGGATTCTAAATACATTCTGCCAATGATCACGATTGTTATTTTTTTATTAAGGTATTAAGAAAAATCACGGTATTAAAAATAATGTATATATTTTTTAAAAATGTTCATACAAAATTATAAAACTTGAATACTGACACTCCGTACTCTGAGAATAATGACAATTGACAATAAACAACAAACGAAAATGTTTATTTACCTACCAATCTAATAATTAGTTGATTATTGAATGTTTTAAACATTCCAATCGCAGTGTATATATATTATGTAGACTCCAAGCTTATTTCACAAGCTAACTAAACCATGAGCCGCCATTTAAACAAGAATATGTTATTACGACGTAGATTCTGCAAACGCTTGCTGCTTATTGTAGCAGTGTTTATAATATCATTTTACGGTTCTGTTCTATTATTTGGCAACTTAAAAGGTCCTCGTGTAATGCATTTAACTAATTTGGATCGCTGCCCTGCATGCTATGGAGTATCAGTTTGTCCGGAATTATATTCAAACCAAATAACTTTAGAGAACCACTGGTCTGCTATGTTTAACGCAAAGAATATATTTTACGGGTATACAAGGTCAAACCGCAAAGTAGTATTGAAGAAGCTCGCTCATGACTGGGAATTAAAAGAATTTGATGATAAATTATGCAAAGAATGGAACTTAAGTAGTACTTGTACCCCCAAAGATCTGCTAAATGTAAGCAAAGTAGATCAGAAAATAATAGATATTGTTCAATTCAATATTTCATGGCCTGACACAGAACCTAGAAAAGGTCTGGTTTTATGTCCGTATGCTTATAGTATTTATGATTTAATTCATCCAGCTATGAACAATGGCAATGGGAATTTCAAGGCAGAAATGATTAATATCTGGACAATGCTCAGTATAAACCCAGAACCAATTTTGTTACAGGTAACTTTTGATTTTAAATACAGTCTATAGTTTACGCAAGTAGTATACATTTAAATACAACACTAACAGTTTAAAAGGCAATGTATATTAGTTAAACTTATATGGAAATTCCTGGTGGTGCTCCTATGACCACAGCTGCTGCAAAGCATCCAAAATAGTGTTAAAATAATGTACAAAGTTTAATATACATCACACTTTAAACTGTTAGAGTGTTGATCTTATTAAAAACTGTTTCATGCTAATTCTTTAAAATTAGTTACTTTGCAACTGTACTTTTTTTATAAATAATTTTCAGATCCTCCCTAAAACGAAAGGCTGGCCTGTCCCAGCGTATGGTGGTGTCTGTGGACGATTAGAAGTGGTGGCTCATGAAGGAGAGATACTGTCTTCCCTTACTCATATCTCGTGGTATACCAAGCTCAAATATGCTCAGAAAATACTCAATGCAGCTATGGATTTTACATTTAAACATGATAGGTATTTGAAAACTTTTTTTTTGACATGTTATTGCACATGAGGGCACTATATAATTGATAATGAAAATCATGATAGGTATGCTTAAATGTAAAAATTGTCCTCTTTATGAATTTTATCTTTTAACAAAATTTTAACTTACGGCCTTAAGGCTATAAGTTAAAATTTTAATTTAAGTTAAAATATGTACTATTTATCATAAACACTTTTTTACATCATTTACTTGTTACTACATTACACTAATTACATTAACTACTTGTTAAGGGAAAAAAAACAAATAGACATCTCTTCTACCCTTCAGTATTTCCTCATTTACATAACTTTTTTTTTATTAAATATAAAGTGCCTTTAGCATTCTGATATCTTATAAGACTTTTTTTCTCCAGGTTTCGATTCTATCTCATGGATTGGTCCATAGACAATATTGTAGCCAATGAAAAGGACGAAATTACATTTGTAGACATTGAAGATGTAGTAGTTCTAGATAAGAATATATCACCAAAAAAAGATCTTCCAGACTGGTACCAAAGATATAACAGAGAAGTCTTAGGAACTGGTTTCACATTCTCTATAGAGAATATGTGTCAACATCATCTAAGTGACCATAATATCTGGGCTGCGTGTTTTGTTTTAGCTGGTGATGAGAACCCATTTCTCTATCCCATACCCAAAGAAATTAATGATACCAGGCCACATTTTGATAGATTGATGCATAGATGTTTGAATGGCGATGATAGGTTTCGCACTATTGGCAAATTACAACATGTAATTGAAGACATGCTGCTCGATAAGAAAGTTGCTGCGTTGGGGAATGTAACATGATTCAATGCACTTTATATTCGCTGACAAGTTTTCAGAATCTCAGATCTTCAAGAATTATTTTATCTGTGATAATTAATGTTCATGCTGTTTTGTTTGAGCAGTTGTGATTTATTTTATGATAATATACTTTCTTGTTTTGCCGTCTTATTACGTCTTTCATTGAAATCATAGATTTCTTTTGGAATTATTAAAGGTAAAAAACCATTACAATAAAAAGAAAAAGAGATTAAATATTTTATCTGTGGTTTTGCTTTTGACATTGACTCGCACAGTTTCACGACTTCATAGTCACTGTCACTTTAAAGATTATTGTTTTTGTTGTAAAATTGGTTTATAATTAAGTTCATTGTAGGTAATCTGTAATAATAATATTTGATACTTAAATGAATTGATTTATTTCGTTAATAAAATGAGTGGTTCCGATAGTGATGATGAAAATATCGTCCAGTATGGCACTCCGCTCGAGCCATACGAAGAAGGTATGGAACATTATAACGATTAACCACTAACTTAGTGTACACAAATACGCATTGTTATCTTAATATCTGTCGTCTTTCAAGATGAAGTACCATCGAAAAGGAAGTTCCAGCAACCACCCGACCAATACGCAGTTGATGCCCATGGGCGGCGGCGATTCCATGGCGCTTTTACCGGTGGCTTTTCGGCGGGATTTGGTAACACAGTTGGTACACCAGAAGGGTGGACCCCAGCGACTTTTAAGAGTTCCCGATCGGAGAAAGCGCAGACAGCAGTAAGTTTTTTTTTTAAAACATTATATTACGTCTTAACTACCGAAGTGAAGCAATTCTAGGCTAGTTCATGTTAAAAAACCTGTGAAGCAAATTAAATAAGATTTTAGCAACTATTCCTATCCCAAAAATAGGTCATTTTTTATTATCTAGTTCACTTTATTTTATGTTGTATTAATTTTATGATGTATAGAGCCAAAGACCTGAAGACTTTATGGATGAGGAAGACAGAAGTGAGTTTGGTATAGCTCCAAAGCAAATGCAGACAGTTAGAGAGTTTTCTGGTCAGAAACGATCTAGACCTAATCGGTATCACGAAGGACCTATACCTGGTAAGTTAATCCTAAACTTAAAAGTGTGTAAAGAAACTAGAAAAAAAAAATATATATATATATATATACATGCTATAATGTAAATACTGTCTTTAGTTTACACGAGTAGTACACATTTGAATAAAACACTTTAAAGGTTTTAAACTTATTTGAAAATGATTTTTAACTTCGGCCCAATGTTTCTCCTCATGACCACGGCTGCTGCTAGTTAAAAATAATTTTCAAATAAGTTAAACTCGCGTTTTCAACCGTTAAATTGTTTTATTTAAATGTTATGATGTTACAAACTGCAGTATACAAAATTATTTTCTAGAAAACCATATTTGGTGCAGTTGTATCAATAGGAATAACGAGAATAAAAAAATTTGTCTCTCAATCCCTCTCCATAGGTTTTCAAATACTTCTAGGGCTTCTGACTTATCTGGCTGTAAATTTTTCAGGTGAACCAGTATTAGAACAATTGTTAAGACCTGTACATGAATCTGCAGCTGTTCGCATGTTACAAGCAATGGGGTGGAGGGAAGGCCAAGGAACAGGTGGTCGCCTCACTCGCATTGAAAAAAAAAAAAAAAAAAGAAGCAACACAAAGTTTATGGATGTTTTATGCCACCAGAGTTTCGAGAGGTATTTAATAATAGTGAATATTTAAAATATATTTTATCTTATATAACCATAATATATCTAATAAAACAATATTCAAACAAAGCACTATTAGTTGTTTGAAATGTGAGATAGATTTAACTTATCTACAATGTATTTTAACCACAACATAGTAGATTTAGACATTATTCAGATCTTCAATTGGTAAACCTAACTAATATTTAAATGTACTACTCACATAAAGACAATACTGAATTATAACATATCTTATATAATTAGACCAATGTTTTCACAACATGAACAAGCATCCACATCATTCCGTGCCTTTGTTTTAACCAATTCAGCTTCTGTGTCCGACATATTACTGAATGTACTGTGCAGTACCTATATTTTAAGAAGCATGAATAAAAAATAATTATTAGTATGCATTTTTTTCTCAGGCAAAACAAGATTCTGAAGAGAGTTCGGAATCGGAATTCGAATATGAAACTCTATTCGCGCCAGAAGATTATGAACCATATATACTTCAGCGGAAGAATGATAAGTTTGGCCTTGGATATAGTGGGTTGAGCAGGCATTCAGTTTTGGGCAATTTGGTGGGTGAATATGGCAGTAGTGATAATAGAAGCCATTTAGTTATGAAGGATAAGGGAAAGAAGGTAAGGTTTTTTGGTTAAATTGTATCTAATATGAGGCTGCTAGACCCAGAGTGGCCTAATAACAAAAAATATGATTTTCAATAGAGAGGAAAATAAAAATGCACAATTAACTTAGGCGAAATTGAAATCTTAATATTATTTGTGTAAGAATTATGTTAACAATTTTTGGTCACTGTGCTCTTGTAGATTAACATTTTTTGACTGACAATATAAATAACTTAAGTCATAAAATTGCAGTTAAGCTACTATACCTCTAGTACCTCTACTGTACCTAGTAATCTCATATATATTAAATATAGATTTTATTGATGTAACTTACGAAATAGAGATACTAACATTACTCAATTAGAAAATGTGAATCAATTTTTATTAAAGGTTTTAAAATGGCTTTGTAGTAGTTACAAGTACGACACAGCTGTTGCTGTGCAAAGCTTTCGAAACGACTGGCCGTAGTTAAAATAATTCGTAAATGTTAAATACCGTTACAAGTGTTTTACTGAAATATGTACTACTCGCGTAAACATCACACAGTTTAAGTTAAGTACAGGGTTTAATAAAGTTAATTATTTTTTTAAAATGGAATTTTCGGTTTCATTGACCCAACTTATTTGTTATTATCCAGGTATCAATTCGCGGTCAAGCATTCGGCGTTGGTGCTTTTGAAGCTGATGATGAAGACATATATGCCACAGAGGATATGTCGCACTACGACTTTGCCTTGGGAGCTCCGAGCAAACAAGTGGAGAGGAAAAGTGTTAAGCGCGATAAAAATGTAAGACTGCAATTTATGTAGACAATTTGTATTTGTATGATAGAAGCTATTCAACTTGTTCAACATATCTTTTAACGTAATCAGTAATCACAATGTTATAAACAAGTACCCGAGACGAGGACCGCTTTCAGCGGCGTCTGGGGGGAGGGGGGCGTAATCCAATTTTATAGCTCAATTTTATCAGATACTAAGAGCATGTTCAATTTAGGATCACGGCGAATGGCCACCATTTTTGTAGATTTTATGAAGATTAATTGGCTAACTTTTAATATTACATATACATATAAATTATTTTCAGGTACTAGAAGGCTTTATGAAATCAACGAAGCCATTACAGCCTGTACCGTCGTACCCACCGCCGACGTTACCAAGGGACTATAAACCTAAACCGGCTGGAAGCAGGCGCACGAGATTCGAACCCACTGACAAGCCGCAGAGAGATCAGGGTATGTGCGCTTACTAAAATCGCCAAATGAATAGCAGCATTTTCCATTTCAATGTTTTTATTTATACTATACCTTAAACTATACCTAAACATTAAAATGGTTCTGACATAAATCGTTTTAGGAAAAAAAGTTTATTTTTATGATAGAGGAAAACAAGCATCGGGTTCTCTTGATGGAAGGAGAAATACCCCAGTCATATGACATGTCAGAAGTCGACCTATTTTGCCGTTAGGTATTCGCTAGTCCAGACTGACACCGAAACACGATTTAACTTCACTGCTTTTCCAACTGAACGGTGGTTTGAGACCCAGAGGGAATTTCCTATATTTCTATCTTCCACTTATTAAAAAAGAAGTCTTCGAAATATTCTGAAACTGCTGGGGATTGAAACCCACAACTCGTTGATTAATCCGTCAAAGGTTATTTTTCGTTTTTGACATCTTGGTTTCAAAAAGCTACATGTTTTATATATTGCAACATAGGGATTTAGTTTGGTGTTATTATTTTTGTGTATATAACCATAATGATGTGGCATAAAATGTATTTGTAGGTTTGGGTCGTCACGACTTAACTGCAGACGCGCGTGGCGCACTTTTAGGTGAAGTGCCGATACCAAAAGCCTCTACAGAAAACATTCCACAACCGGGCACACGAACACCAACACAAAACGCCATAGAAAAACTGTTCGGCAAAAACGTAAATTTTGTCTCAGAAAAAACGGAAAGCGAAGATTTTATTTCAATAAAAGATACGGGGGGAGAGCTTAAGACATTCAGGCCGTTTGTTAGTAATCCTTCGAAGCAGGCCAGGTACGAACGGTACCTAGAATCAAAAACGACAGACAGCGACAGCGCTAAGGACAAACTCAGTAAATGGGAGAGGGAAAGAGAGATGCTGGAGTTCGAACAGGCGGCTAAGTTGTATCGACCGCTCACTGGTGTTATCGGCGATAGGTGGGTAGTTTTATAATTTAAATATAACGTTATTTTTGCCTTGGGATAACCACACACTGAAATCGAAAACTGTATTTTCGCTTGTTTCATTTGTAGATGGTGGAATTTAAATATTTCTGTCTAAGCTATTTAATATCCACATTTTATAAATTAACTTAAAACATTTTATACGTAATAAGGGTCAAACTCACAACTCTTAATTATTAGCCATACATTGCATATTTCTTACTGTTTTTCAGTATTAACGTCCCTGTCCTAGTCGTAAACAATGATATTTTTATTTCAGATTCACTCACGCCTCCCAACCAGACGACGCTTTGAATCCCTTATGTGCTGTTGCGAAAAGTTCTATTAACTACGGTTTAGCCAGTGAGGAGATGATCGAGGCGGCAAAAAAGGGGGCCTTCGGTGTGATGACAAGAAAGAAGGTCGATTGGCAACCAGAACCTCTTGTATGCAAACGTTTTAATGTTCCCGAACTTGGGGGTAGCAGGTATATAATTTTCATTACTATAATACTAAGTTTTTCATTTATTCATTTCAAGAGTGGGGTCTCATAACATAATATGTAATTTTAGAAGACAAAATGCAAAGTTTGTTTACCTAATACTTTATAATTACAGACAAGAACAAAACAAGGAAGTTAAACCAAAAGTATCATATTCAATCTTCTCGTACATGGAATCATCTGTGCACGATAAAGAAAGTTTCACAAAAGAACAAAGCAAGTTTAGTGGCTCCAAATCCTTGAGTGAAGAAGTAAGAGTGCAGACTCCGAAAAACCAAGATAAGACCCCTGCAGCAGCAAGTGTAAATAAAAGAATGACCGTGGCTGAACTATTTCTAAAAGAATCTGAGAACACAGAGGAGAAAGGCCAAGAAGTGACAGAGACTATTGAGAAATTTGATAGAATGGACCTCTATAAGGCAATATTCTTAAGTGACAGTGAAGACGAAACCAAGGAAACAGATATATTCAATGAAATGCCAAAAAACGTAGAGAGAAATGATTCCCCACCTCGTGGAATATTCGCCAATATAAATTTCGATGAAATTAACTCTTGGAAAAGATCACAGAGTGATAAAAACAGCAGTGATCCTAAACAGAACACTAATAACACAGATAAGACATTAAGTTCTACAGATAAAAATAATATAGATGCCAAACAAAATACTACAGACACAGCGAATAAGGTTGACAGAAATGCAACGCCTGAAGAATTAAACGTTTATGGGCCAAAAATTCCAGACAATTTTCAGTTGAATATAGAGTTTAATACAAATGAAATTTTCAAACCAAAATTCAGAAGAAAAGAAGATAGAAAGGACTCATCAAGTTCAGATTCCTGGGTCGACGCGAAAGAGGTGAAATCAAAGAAACACAAGAAGAAAAATAAGAAACACAAATCCAAACAAAAGAAGTCTAAACACAAGAAAAAAGATAAATAGATTCAAAATAAATTTATTATATGTTTCTTGCTTTTCTTTTTTACCTATTCAGGAAAAGCCAGTCTTTTGAGTTTGGTATACCAATATCCTATAAAATTAAACCCAGATATGTACTTATTGTGTATATATATACTTATTATAATATATAAATATTATTTAGATCTTACAATTGGGGATTTTGGAAAAATAAGAATGCCTTTAAAACATAGTTTTATTTCTTGTTGTGATTTAATTTAGTATAATTTAATTGATGTTTTCTAAAACTTAAAAGTTCTACTTTTTAATATCTCTAATAAGCTTCTCTCGTCATAGCCATATATTCTCTCTCTTTGTACAGAAAATAAATAGAATAAAAAATGTAATCTACAAAACAAGTTTGGGTCTGACATTCATAACCTATCCATTTATGAGCAAAAAACGCGAATGCAGTTAAAAAGAATATTTAAATTTTCAACCTTGAAAAGTCGATCTCATTGTTTTCACTTTCAAAAACCGCGCGTCTAACCGCTTGCGCTTGCGTCGAGTATTTTAACATCAAAACAACTATGTTTACAAAAATTCGCGCAAATCGTGCGTAGTATTACGTTGGTGTTATTATTAGGTGAAACCACGAAAACATTACACAATAATATTACGTCGAAAGTTTGTGTAGGTGTCGAGATCATGAAATCAAGGTTACGAATGGCGGGAAACAGTCTAATCCCGCTGCGATTTGCTCGTCGAGTTTCAATACTCGTCGAACCTAACGCATTTAATTTGTAGCACACAATGCAATTGTATTAATTTGTCCGACGCTTTGCAATGCAAGGCATATTTAAATTTAAACTAGATATCCGTTATTTCTGTCAAATGAGACAATACATTGGTGCACAATAAGCAAATAAAGATATTGTTATACGAGACAAAAGCGGCAATGTATTGTTAACATTCTTAAAGTACTCGTTAACGAATACAGTTATAATGCGGCTAACATCTTCGCAGTTGGTTGTCAATAACATTTACGAGTAGCAGAGATAGAAGATATCTTTTAGTAAAAGTGGGAAAAGGAAAAAACATAAACTGTGATTCGAAAGAGACAGCCGTAGGCAGTTGTCAAGCGATAGAAAGAGATAGTTATAAAACAGTGTTACAATATATAATTTTTTCGCCGTGATTGGTGAGCATGCGTCATACGGTTATAACAGGGTCGAATTTTTAAGTTTTTAAATGAAATATACTACTACAGTGTATTCCGGGACTACTATCTACGCGTAGTATGAAACACGAACTGTTGCCAATTTTGTCATTTCAAAGTTAATTCTTACTGCGATAATAATAATTTGCGTTAGAAATAAGCTATTATTTCTAATTAAATTTGTTCAAGAGTTTATTCCTTTCATCTAAATATCTTAGTCAATGTTTGGAACATTCTGTCTGGTTATTCATATATTCGTTATGTTAATCAAGGTAAAAAATAAAAAAGAAAAGAAAATTTTAATAAACGCACTTTTAATAAACTTATGGACAGCCCATTAATTTAGTATAGTATACCGGCACTTATAAACAGTGATATGAATCCAGCCCTGGCAGAATACAATCAGCTGTTTGTAATGACAGTTCCCCTGACTAATACAAAATGGTTGAAGACTAAAGTTGGCAAACAAAGAAAGGCAGCGTAATATCGCTTTTAAACGTGAAAATATAACTTTATTGAGTGAAAGTTAGTTAGTTTTGTGAGTTCAGTGTGTTAAGTGCACAATGCTGGACCTAGAAATCGTTCCAGAACGCTCCCTGGGTTGTGAGACCTGGGAATTTGTCCTAGGTAAGCTATTCATATGTTTTTAATTTACGTCAAGATTTTGCGTTGTATTACCAAGGGATACGTCTTACGCAATAATACGTTAACATACGTGACATTTAAATTAATTTTCGAACGGGCCCTAGTTTTTAAATTAGGAACGACATTGATTTTTTAATAGCTCGGGCGCGTCTTTGTTCGAACTTCAAATGTTTATTTTTTTACACTTGACCATGAAAACGGTTAATTGTTGTCAATAAATAAATATCATTTTTTACCGATTTTTTTACTTGTGCATTGGGATTTATATTCTTTTATAGTGATGGTAATGTTTATTGCTGCTGCATTATGCATCCATGACCTGATTATTTTATGAAAGGAGAATACGTATTTTGCCTCTATTTATGTGTGTGTGCACTGTATATACTTATAATGTATAATTTCAAATAACAAAAAAAAATTAATGTCCTATCAATTTTATAGATTATTATAGAAAAGTATACTATTATTCAATTTTATTTTTATCAGCATATCAAATTTGCTATCAGACATGCCCTTGAATGAGGCTTGTAAACAATGTAACAACAAGTCTTGGAAGTACTGTCTATAGTTTACGCGAGTAGTACACATTTAAATAAAACACTTTAACGGTTTAAAAACGCGATATATTAGTTAAACTTATTTGAAAATGATTTTTAACTTCGGCCCGACGTTTCGGATGCTTTGCAGCAGCCGTGGTCACGGGGAGACTAAAGATGGAGGATGTCTCAGACGTCAAAGTAAAGAATTGCTACGCTAGCGCCATCTGTTCCGTCGAAGTTGGTATTTGGCGAAACTGGCCGGGTCCTTACAGAATTGACTAACGGTGTCTTCGCGTTTGCTGGTATGCTGTTTATTGGGATCCAGAGTTTTTAATATGGGATCCCAGGTGTTTGATAGTTTGAGGCCGTCCTCCCTATTGAAATTTCGGTGTTTTTTGATTTCAATTGCTTCGCGTACCAATCTTGGAAAAAATCGACTCTCCTTTGCGAGGATTTTTGGTTGGTCAAAGCGAATGTAGTGATTGGGCCCTTCTGATGAGTGTTGGCATACCGCAGATTTGGAGAGACGTTTATGTTTTATATCCGCGACGTGTTCTTTAATTCTGTTTGAGATGCTACGCTTTGTTTGGCCGATGTAGGATAGGCCACAATCACAATCCAGTCTGTAAACGCCTGCATCTTGTAAAGGGATAGTACACTTGCTTGGTTTCAGGAATTGCTGAATCTTCTTGTGCGGCTTGAAAATTGTGTCAATAGAAGCTCGATTTAGGACTCTGCTAATTCTATCTGTAACTCCCTTCACATATGGTAGGTAGGCGGGCTGACGTTTGACTGTGGGTGGCTTGTTCCTGTTCCTGGGATGGGAGGGACTCTAGCTTGTTCTTGATAGGACCTGCTTGACATGCTGTAACTCCTCATTTAAGTGGGCAGCATCACAGAGACGGCGGGCTCTCTGAAACAAAGATACTCCGACAGAACTAAGTTGGCTGGGGTGGTGATGTGAGTCACCGTTCAAATACCTATCTGTATGGGTTGTTTTTCTAAAAAACGGTATGCCCAATATTACCGTGTTCATCACGAATTACTAAAATGTCTAAGAAACCTAAAGGTTAAACCTAAGCTTTACAAGCGATACGTAGATGATACCTTCACCATCTTACCCAAAGCACAAGTATCTGCATTTCTTACACACCTTAACTCAATTCACAATAACATTAAGTTTACAATGGAACAGGAGGACAATAACACACTACCTTTCTTAGACATTTTAGTAATTCGTGATGAACACGGTAATATTGGGCATACCGTTTTTAGAAAAACAACCCATACAGATAGGTATTTGAACGGTGACTCACATCACCACCCCAGCCAACTTAGTTCTGTCGGAGTATCTTTGTTTCAGAGAGCCCGCCGTCTCTGTGATGCTGCCCACTTAAATGAGGAGTTACAGCATGTCAAGCAGGTCCTATGCAAGAACAAGCTGAGAGTCCCTCCGCAGCATCCCAGGAACAGGAACAAGCCACCCACAGTCAAACGTCAGCCCGCCTACCTACCATATGTGAAGGGAGTTACAGATAGAATTAGCAGAGTCCTAAATCGAGCTTCTATTGACACAATTTTCAAGCCGCACAAGAAGATTCAGCAATTCCTGAAACCAAGCAAGTGTACTATCCCTTTACAAGATGCAGGCGTTTACAGACTGGATTGTGATTGTGGCCTATCCTACATCGGCCAAACAAAGCGTAGCATCTCAAACAGAATTAAAGAACACGTCGCGGATATAAAACATAAACGTCTCTCCAAATCTGCGGTATGCCAACACTCATCAGAAGGGCCCAATCACTACATTCGCTTTGACCAACCAAAAATCCTCGCAAAGGAGAGTCGATTTTTTCCAAGATTGGTACGCGAAGCAATTGAAATCAAAAAACACCGAAATTTCAATAGGGAGGACGGCCTCAAACTATCAAACACCTGGGATCCCATATTAAAAACTCTGGATCCCAATAAACAGCATACCAGCAAACGCGAAGACACCGTTAGTCAATTCTGTAAGGACCCGGCCAGTTTCGCCAAATACCAACTTCGACGGAACAGATGGCGCTAGCGTAGCAATTCTTTACTTTGACGTCTGAGACATCCTCCATCTTTAGTCTCCCCGTGACCACGGCTGCTGCAAAGCATCCGAAACGTCGGGCCGAAGTTAAAAAATCATTTTCAAATAAGTTTAACTAATATATCGCGTTTTAAACCGTTAAAGTGTTTTATTTAAAAGTCTTGGAAGTCTAGTTTAAATTATAATAATTAAAGCAACAAAAATATACATGTGATAAACAGTAACGTACCTCAGTAACCGATATAGACTCGCTCAACTACTTTTTGTTTGATCAGTATTATTATAGCACATTTTTGACTAAGTCAGCTAGTTAAATAGTTATTTCGTATACTTAGTTTAAATAAATTTACAACAATAATAATTACAAATGGAAATTAAGAACAGAATATACAATAAAATAGATTTAAATCTACATTCATTTCAACATTTCTAACATTCCAGTGTATATAAATATTTCAGCTATTAATAATTTTATCATAAATAAGTAAATAGAATAGTTTTTAATGTACAAACAAAGGTGAAACAAGTAAAAAGTACTACTTAATGGTTAAAAGATACTCCTCTATTTGTATTCATTGCGATGGCTAAAATAACTTGTTAACATAAATGTTAAAATGTGTTAATGTTATAATAAGTTAACAATATAGTCACACTGTGTTTTATCTATCATTGCATTTATTTGATTATCTAGCTTCAGTTCTCTATATTTCTTCAGTTTGATTCTATATGTTTGTATATACTTTGTAAATTGACAGGACTTACCTTGCTTAAGAGGAAAGGTATTTTGCACTAGTCTGGTCTTAAATTTATTCTGTGTTAAGTATCATTAAGTAAAAGTAGAAATAATGTCATATAACAGATTATATGAAAATATATATATTACTTAAATAAAATTAAATATTTGCTAATATCTATAACAATCATAGTTTATTAATGATCTTAAACTACAGTACAATTTGATGGTCAATGTATAATTTATAATCAACTAGCTGTGCCCGCGACTTCGTCCGCGTGGAATAGTGACTTGTGGTAGAATTTTTAATTATTTAGGCTGTTTATAATTTATGTAAGAGCACATTTAGGGCAGCCCATCTATGTTGTAAGTGCAACTTTGCCGCAACACTCTCACCTCACATCACTCCTACTCTAACTCCCACTCTTGTTTCTACACTCACTCTCACTCCCATTCCCAAAAAGCCAAAGAAGAAAGTTTCATTGTTCTAGCTTCAAAAGCGACGAATTTTCATACAAACTTTGAGCCCCCTTTTAACCCCATACAACCCTCTATTCGCAATAAAAAGCCTAGTTCTAAGTATCCTATGTTCTTTATCAGAGTCTATACCATCAGTGTACCAAATTTCATTCGAATCCGTTTAGTAGTTTTGACGTGAAAGAGTAACAGACAGACAGAGTTACTTTCGCATTTATAATATTAGTAAGGATGAGTTGTGGGTTTGATTTCCAATGCGCCAAGCTTATTTTTAAATCATTTACTATTTTTTCTCTTCAGAAATTTAAAAGTACATAATATGTCTTTACGACAAAGGAGCATGTGGTTTACTCAATGTAAGGTAAAATACCCTGTCATATAACATCTTAACAAGATGTGCCGTCAACTTATTAAAATTCTGCCGAGTTACATACCCTACCCTACCCAGTCTACACATGAAAAATGGTAAATGTAAATTAATTCTGAACTCTATTCCAAGCTGTAGATTCCTTTATAACAAGAGCTCTAACAGTTTAAAAGAACAGCTTAGCTTGTGTCTCTGCTAAAGCTATTAAAAAGCATGTATTTAAATTTTACAACTTCCAAAAAAGTATTACACGTTATGTAATACAAGTTTGACACAATTAAGAACCTAATTGCTGAAAGTAGGTCAGAGTTCACCAATATTAACTTGCTCGTTTACCGTTCGACTGCTTCAGTAAATAAATTTCTTTTAGCTGCTAGCTTAAAAGTAATGTCTTTTTGTGAATTTTTTATCCATTGATCAGAATTTATTCACTGGATATGCCTAAACAGTACCTTGAATATTAAATTCACTAAGTGATTAGTAAATTAAAAAATTATATTTTGTATTTATAAATATATTGACTTAATTTTGCATAAGTTTTTTAAGGCAAAAATTTTTAGCATTTCACCATATAGGACTAAATATGAATTAAACCAAATGCTAAAAGTTATAATAAAAAAAACAAATGGAAGTGTAAGTAAGTTAGTACATTTAATTTAAAATATAAATTTTATATTTTATTGCATTTTTAAATAGATATTTTAAAAAAAATTAAGTAACGTCTATTAGTATTTTGTTTTATAAAATAAATTGTAAATAAGTTAACTAATATAATGCGATTTTCAAACC